AAAAAAAAAAAAAAAAAAAAGATTCAGCTTCACCTCTAACCCACTGCATGGCTGAGGAAAGCACTGCCACTGGAGATGTAATGGTGTCAATACTGCTTTCCAAAAGCTGCTGAAGATGCCCCTCATCCATGATGGCCTAGAACCTGGAATTCCTGAAACTGCCAAAGCCTTAGACAAGTGCCAAGCCCATCTTTGTGCATTTGCATCCAACTGTGAAGAGCCCCTAGGTATGCAAAGCTAGTGGAGACCCTCTGTGCTGAGCACCAAATCAACCTAATTGAGGATTATGACAAGAAACTAGGGGGATGGGTAGACCTCTGTAAAACTAACCAAGAGGGAAAACCCCATAAAATGGTTGGTCCCAGTTGTGTGGTGGTTAAGGACTATGGCAAAGGATCTCAGGCCAAGGATGTAATCAAAGAATACTCAAATGGAAGAAATAAATGAATAAAAATTTTTGCTCACTTAAAAGGAAACAGGAACCTTGTCTATTACTGTTCTTAGCAGTGTCACTAACAATACCTGGCACATAGTGAATACCCAATACTGCTTCTTAAATAGATGAGCAACTCAAACTAGTGCTCTTTCAGGAATAGAAAAATTCAAGAATCATAATAAATGTGTCAATTAAACATCCAGATTAACAAACTGAATAGGCTCCAGTGGAGTGTTAAGACAATGTTTCTGGATTTTATTAAAACCAATATTATTTTAAGTATTTCAAATATATTCCTAATAAAAGCTCTTAGTGATATTTTCATTATGCAGAGATTTTGTGGTACAGATGTTTAAAAGAGGGATTATATGTGTATTAAACATTAAATGATATCATTCATCAACAGGGAAGGCCAACCTGCTGTTCATATCGTTGTTTCACATCGTCTAGCTGCCATAAGAACTCCTTTGACTGTTTCTCACGAAGGGATTTGGATCTTGTTAGATCTGCTTCCACTTTTTCCATCTATAAAATTTTAAAAATCAAGCTTTAAATCTTTTTAACAAAACTTATATTCCATATGCTTTAAAAATTTTTCCATTCATTAAAATGTCAGATTTTACACAATTAATCAGTCATAATGATAAGTTTAATGGAAATAAAATGAAACCTATGTTAATTTAATACATTTTAAAAGTTAATGGAGGGAAATAAAAATTGGTACATAATACTGTTCTAATAGTATTACAATAATGTCATCAAAATATAATTTGGACATTTAAATATTTATTCAATATGACTTTAAGTGCTTAATGGGACAAAATACTTGCTATTCATATATGTGATAAGAGATTTCTATCTAAAATACATGAAGAATACTTACAACTTACAACAAATGAGTAGTTAACCCAGTTTTTAAATGAGAAAGGATCAGAATAGACACTTCTCCAATGAAGATATACAAATGACCAAAAGCATAGGAAAAAATGCCCAGCTTCACTGTCATTAGGCAATTGCAAATTAAAACAAGAACGGCACAGCACTTCACACTCACTAGGATGGCTATAAGCAAAATGACAGGTAATAACATGTAGTATGATGAAGATGTGATGAAACTAGAACTCTTAATGCTGCTGGTGGGAACGTAAAATGTTACAGACATACTGACAGTCTGGAAATTCCTCAAAAGATCTAACATGGAGCTAACATGACCTAAGAATGCGATTCCTACATAAAAAATAAAATATGCATAGGACATATCAACTTCAGATTGACTAGATGACTGATTTCTTCATTAGAACTGTTTTTAATATGTGATGCCCTAGTGTGTTTTAGTCCTGTGTTCTCCGATGTAAACCAGCACTTAGCACAGTGCCTGATGCACATAAAGATTCAATAAATAATAATGAAGATACAATGTGCTCATTTCAAGATTTGCTAAATGTACAATAGTAAACACTTAGTGCCAAATTCTTTATAATATATACAAAATTTAGTGTCGATCTCATTTTCTCTATTACTTTGTACATGCTCTTATCAGATGTTCTTTTATATGTGAAAGGAAAGAGCTGTTCTTACAAATAGAAAAGAAAAAACTCTCCATGTCAGAAAGGAAAATGGCACCTTTCTTTCAAAGCAATGCCCATTCTGTCTTTCCACCCCTGCATATTTAGATGTGATTTAAAGAAATGCTTTTACTACTTGATAATTTTATTTATACCGCTCCACTGGTATATTGATTTACTTGTGTTTTTCTACATCTGTGCAAAGCTTTCTCTAAAGTTACCTTTTGGTAAACATTATGATTAGTTAAAACATGAATATTAAAAGAAATGAACCATGCAATTGTTTCCTTCATAGTTTTTCATGTTAAATTTAAAATATCAAATGCATTTATTCAGACATAGTTAAGGTTCTGAGAACAAATATACTCAGGGACAAACAACCATGTTTCACTGCAAGAGAAAAAAAATGGATCTTCCTACTCACCATTGCTAGGAAACAACCATCTCATTTCAATTTCTGATTCTTACATTGAAATTTGAACTATTTACATTCTAGGAAAATATTTAGCTTCTAAGTATGTCTTTGTAAATACCAAGGACAGAAACCCTGAAAATACTAATACAAGTTTCCAAAATCAATGACAGAGTTCTATGACTATTAATCACAGGTGATTAGCATTTTGGTAAATGATAAATTTAAGGGATTACTAAAGAAAGTGTAGTGAAGCCCACTTTATTTTCTTTTGTTTCTAATTCAAGACTTGGTTTCAAAACTCTATCAATGCCTGTCATTTTAGACCTTATGCACAATCTATCCTCACCAATACACATTCCAGTATTCGTCATATTTCCCAAATGAGGCTGGATGTTCTTGACTCTATAGCTTCCGGCCTTCACTTTATCTGGTAAGCCCTTTTATTTTTTTCTTAATCCAGTCAGTCATCAAGGTTACATCTGTTTTCACCAGACTTTAGCAGTGGAGAGGTGACTATGCCCTCAGGAACTCTGCATTAAGGCATCCCCAGGCCAGGAAGAAAACTCTCACACCTAAATATCTGCAGAACAGAGCATGTAATCCTACCTAACCTTAGCCCTCAAGCAGTGACCTTTGAGGCATAATTGTGAAGCATGGCCTCTTGCTCTCTCCATCCCAAGTAACAGCAATGCCAGACACTGTACCTACAGGCCAGCTTGCAGCCTTGTCCAAATACAAATTCCTCCTAGCCAGGAAATGCAGCCTGAAACCCTGCCTGATCAGTGATTGAAGAATTCATCCAGCAGCTACATCTGGCCTAGGTATGGTTCTTACCAAACTATGGAACACAGTCAGCAGTGCCACCTAACCCCAAAGGACAGGAAAAAGACCAGCCTAACTGGAGAACCCCATAGAAAGGTCTAACTGGTTGTAGTCACTATCAGCTGGCCCATATAGAACCTCAGGATAGACTAAATATTGAAAACGTATTTTCACCAAAATATATCTACACAGGTTGGGAGAGGTGGCTGTTCTGTTAAATGTAGAGACACCAAAGCAAAGATACAAGGTATAGGAGGAATCAGGGAAATATTACACCACACACACACACACACACACACACACACACACACACACACACAAAACAACCTACTAATTCTCCAATAATGGACTTCAAAGAAACAGAGGTCATGAAATAACTGCATGGAATTCAAAATAATCCTCTTGGGCTGTGCACAGTAACACTCCCTGAAATCACAAGAACAGTACATAGGAGGCTGAAGAAGGAAGATCATAAATTTGATGCCAACTCAGGAAAGACAGTGAGAAACTGCCTTAAAAAAAAGAAAAAGCAAAAATAAACTTCTTAAATAAGCTTTGGAAACTACAGTAAATTATGGATTTAAAACACTAAAATAAGTTTGGAGAATTATACATAAAATGACAAATTTGAAAGAAATGAAAACAATTTTAAAAACAAATTCTAGAGACAATGTAATGACTGAAACACAAAATTCTGGAGAAAACTTCAACATCAGACTTGTTCATGCAGAAGAAAGAATCAGTGAGCTCAAAGACTGAATATCTGAAATCACCCAGAGAAACCAAAACAAAAATGAAGGAAGTCTGTGGGAATTATGTTATATCATACCATCAAGAGACTTAACTCTTACAAAATAGTAATTCAAGAATAAGAGACAGAAAAAGGTCTAGAAAAGATAATTGAGAAAATAATGGCTGAAAACCCCAAATCTAGGGAAAGACATTAACATCCATGTAAAGTTAATTCAGATGTCTCTAAAATTCAATTTAGTGAGAAATCTTCTATGACATATCATAATCAAACTATTAAAGACAAATTCTAGAAATGGGGAGAGATAAGATACGTATCACATACATGAAAATCTCTGTATGGCTATTGACTGATTCTCAGCAGAAACCCTGAAGACTATGAGAATGTGAGATGATATATTCCAAAATGCTGAAGGGAAAATACCTACCATCTCAGAATGCTTTACCTGGAAAAGCTATCCTTCCAAAATAAGGGAGAAATAAAATCCTCTGAGACAAACAAAATTTAGAGGAGTTCTTCACCCCATAGGCTTGCCTTACAGGAATTGCTTACAGCTAAAAAAGACTGCTAAGTAATAACATCAAATATAGGAAAATAAAAGGCTCCTTGGTATAAGTAATACATACATTCAGAAATTCTAGTACTGTACCTGTGATATTTCCAGTAAGAGGATTAAAAGACAAACTATTAACATTAGCCTCAAGAAATTAATGCAAACATCAAGATGTAAATTTTAATACTGAAAAAAATAAAATGAGGGGGAGAGTAAAAAGTGTACTTTTAGGTGATAAAAGTTATCAGCTTAAATAGCCTAGTATGTTTTACATATTATGTACTACACCTCATGGTAACCACAGAGGGAAAATTTCTATTAGATGAGCCAAATATAAAAGGATTCAGAAAGCATCACTGCAGAAAATTATCAAACCATAAAAAATAGAAGACATAAAGGATCTACAAAACAACCAGAAAAATTACTAAATTATATAAAATTATTAACTATCCTTACTAGTAACTGTCCTTATTTATACACTGTTGCTTTTAATATAAATGGATTGAATCCTTAATCAAAGCAGAGCGGCTATGTTACTGAGTAAAATCTAAATACATCCTCTAACTTCATTTGCCCTCAGTTGACTTTTAAAAGTCACTGATTCTGGAAGTCGCAGAGCTAGACAATACATTATTACCCTCCCACTAGCTTTGGAGATGAAACCCCTGACTGAAGCTGCCTGATGAATTAAAAACTACTTTCCAATGAATTTCTTATTTCTGTCTTCTAGGGGGTTGCTTTATCTCTCCTGGTTCTCTGGAGTGGGGGACAGCCTTATCACTATCTTTTCCTGTTCTCTAGGAAAAGATGCCTTTTGTATCCTAATAATTAAATGCAGAATTAACTATTTCTGGGAAAAAGAACTAAACACATGATTCATAAGACTTTCTAATCAGCAACTTTTCTTTGGATTTACAGAACCCAAAATAATGATCTGTAGCCCATACATCAGAAAGCAGACCAATGAAATTTTAAAACTACTCTGGAATTTGGAAGTCCCTTAGTGCCTATCTATTTAAAATGCCAACCCACAACTTTCTATAATATTGTGCCTGCACCCCCTAAGCAAGTTGTTCTTTGTTGGCAGTAATTTCCATCTTTTTTACTTTTCTAACTTTGCAAATAAATTTTCTTTATCCTAACAAGTCACTAGCCTTCTTGATTGCAATGAATATGGGCTCCTGGTTAGGGCTGGATGAATTTTTTAAAAGAACTATATGCTTCTTAGAAGAGGCTCAGTGCACTCGTGAGGACATACATAGACTGAAAGTGAGGGTCCGTAGAAGATATTCCATGAAAATTAAAAACAAAAGAGAATAAAGGTAGCCATAGTTCTAACAGATAAAATAGACTTTAAGCCAAAAATTGTACAAAGAGACAAGGAAAGCCATTATATAGTGATAAAGAGGTGAGCTCATC